CATTACCTCTTTTGGGTCACCCTCTCTGGGAAATCCACGTCGCCAGCAGCTTTGTGAATTGTCCCAGGAGGTGAGGAGCTAAAGCCTTCTGCCAACAGCCATGCAAGTGAGCTGAAAATTGCATCTTTGCAGTCCAGACAAGCTCCAAGTTACTGTAGACCCTCCTGACACTCTAATTGCAGCCTCATCAGAGGCCCTGAGCCAGCACCACCAAGAAAAGCTGCTCTAGAATTCCAAACTCTCAGAAACTGTGAGAAAATAAGTGTTTACTCTTTTACCCTGAAAAATTTGAAAGAATTTTCTATACAGCAATCACTAATACAGGGGTACATGCATGAACAAGTCTTTTCTTAATTTCCGTTTTTATCATGGGTTAAAGGGTACATGTGCAGGTTTGTTACATGGATAAATTGTGTGATGCTGAGGCATGGGGTACCAATGATCGCATCACCCAGGCCAGAAGAATAGTACCCAACAGGTGGTTCTTCAGCTTACACTCCCCTCCTTTTCTCCTCCAGTGATTCCCCAGTGTTTATCATTCCGATCTTTGCAATCATGTGTATTCAATGTTTAGTTTCCATTTATACATGAGAACATGTGGTAGTTGGTTTCCTGTTCCTGTATTATGTCGCTTAGGATAATAGCCTCCAGCTCCATCAGTGGTGCCGCAAAGGGCATGATTTTGTTCTTTTTTATGGGTCCATGATATTCTATGGTGTTTTTGTACCATATCTTCTTTATCTAGTCCACTGTTGATTGACACTTAGGTTGATTTCACATCCTTACTATTCTTAATAGCACTGCAGTGAACATACAGGTGCCTGTGCCTTTATGAGAGAATGAATTATTTTCCTTTGGGTATATACCCAGTCATGGGATTGCTGGGTTGAATATTAGTACTACTTTAGTGGATGAACAATTCTTGTCCTGCCTTCAAGGAGCTTCTAGCTCAGTAAAACTGGTGAACTGTTGATTTATCACTAAACCAAGGGTAGGTACCACAATAGCACCTAGATGCAGCACCTATCTCAGTCTTGGAGACAAGAACAGCCAAATGAATGAATGATTCTTAATTTGTGGCTCTAAGAATGAGGACGAGGAAGTAGCAAGAGGAAAAGTGCGGACAATTCCAGATAGAAGGGAGAAAGTAAGCCACGGTTGAGGTTAGGGAGAGGTGAGTGCAGTAGTTTCCAGGCCCCCGTTTCATGTGGGCAACAGGGATGATGAATAGTGAGGATGGGGAGGTGAGCTGGGAACAGATGAGGAAGGAAGCTATATAGCACAGGAAGGAGGGAGAGGAGAGCCACTGAAGACTTTTAAGCACAAACATGACTACCATTCAGAGTATAAGCCAGAGTAAGTAGGAGACAAGGAGGCACTGGCTGCAGAAACAGGAAATGGTACTGGGAGCCTGAGAGAGGGTAGTGGCAGTAGGAAAGTGGGGAGTTGAGTTTGAGGCATGTAAAGAGGTTAGAATCGATAGATTTGAGGCTGAAATACATAATTCAGCATTTTTATCTTTTAATTTCACCACTAAGACCCCTGGACTCTTAACCCATACCTGCACCTCCTCTAGTATGGCCATCTTGGTGATTGATACCACAGATGACTCGGTTGCTCCAGATGGCAACCTGGACATGACTGGAAATACCTCCCTTTCCCTTGTAACTGTATCCAGTTAGTAACCTAATTTTACATGTCTAATGCCCAAGATCTTTCTAATTTCCCTTCTTTCCCCACCTGAGTAGTGTTAAGTAAACCCTTGCCACCTCTTCCCTTAATTTTTGTAATGGTTCCTAACAGTTCCACTCCTAGCCATACCTTCTTTGCGTGAATTCTCTGTACCCCTATCAGGCCCATTCAAAGCGCTCATATGAGTGTTCACCCACCCTGCTTAGACATATTCACTGGTTCGTCTGCCACCGTGGACACAGTCCACATGCTTTGGCTTGGACGCAAATCATTTTTCTCTATCTTTAGACTTTCTCTCTCTCTCTCTCTCTCTCTATATATATATATACATACACATATATATCTCATTTCCTCTCTCCTCTTCTACCTCCTCCTTCTCTCTCTCTGTCCAGACATACATACATATATATATATATGTATGTATGTACATCTATATACATATATACATCTATATACATATATATACATGTACATCTATATACATATATATGTATGTATGTATGTATCTTCCTTCCTCCCTCCTCTTCCACCTCCTCCTACTCCCTGCAGAGCCTTATTGTACAGCCATATTAAACTACTGGGGCATTTATGTACCTTTAAACCTTTTATTTTCTCTAAATGGATCTTCACTCCCTCCTGTCCTCAGCTAACTCCTACATGTTAGGAGTTAGAACTCATACATGTTAAGACCCAACTGTGTGTTGCCTCTTCTTGGATACATAAGCTGCCACATGATTCCTATCTTCCCTAGCTCTCACCTCACTATATTCAATTTGTGATTTGCATCCAGTCTCTCCCACAAGTTTCCAAACTCCTTGAAGGCAGGGACCACACCTCATGTGCCTGGCACCATCAGCACAGTGTCTTGCATAAAATAGACACTCCACAAATGTGAAAGTCTAGAACTGAGCACTGCATTCAAACATTCTGCTTGTTGTCCTGAAGAATACAGTCCAAAGAGGAAAGTACTGAACATTAAGAACCTTTTGATCTTCTTTAAGAGTTGGAAAAGCTTGAATAATTCTTTCTTGTCAGGTATAGGAAAATTTTTGATTTTTTATATTAGATACCCTGGAAAGTGAACTATCAAGCATGAAGAGACAAACATCTACCATTTGAACTTTTGACAACTAATTTATAGCTCCAGGACCAATAGGTTATTATGTATGTTGTCCTTGTTTGTGCAAGACCAAATACTGCTTTGTATTTATACTTTTAAAAAGATTAAAATTCTGTTTTTTACATGTTTAACTCTGTCTTCAGATATGAGTCAGCTAATATCTTCTTTGAGAGGGGATTTCTTTGAAGTCTGGGGGACATCCCCAGCTAGAAGACCTGAGCAGAAACATGCTCTGGGTGATCATGATCTGAATTCAAAGGAAACAATTAAGGAGTTATTTCCATTTTGATTCTATTAGCAAGCTTTTCTACCTGTTGCCCTTCAACCTGTCTTCATGCCAGCTGAAACTTCAATAGAGCCTCATGACAGAGCTGTTAAAAGACTTTGAAAAGGGAACGTGTGGAATCATAAATGCGTCAGAAATAAGAGAATGTTTCTCAGTCCATTACATTTTTAACCCCTTGTTTCTGCTTAACAGACTTTGTTAAAGGTCAGTGAGAATGTTTTAACAGCAAAAGCTTGAGACTTCCAAGAACATACTGTTTCCATTCTAGATACCCATTGCTAATAAAGAGCTGGTTTAGTATATTCTGTGCTTATATTTTCAGTAAAAATAAAAAGTAATCATCAGAAAGACTTGAACACAAATCTAAAGTTCAAAACTTAGAGTTAGGATATATTTGAAAATTTGTAATTTGTTGTTACTTTTCCAATTAGGATAATGAATAACATAACATCTGTATAATGCATTACAGTTTATGATGAAAATTTCTGCATGCTTTTCTCATTTTTCACTATAATGGTTGAATGTCATGGATAATAATGTAATTTCATTTTAGATATGAGGAGACTGCAATTCGAGAAGGTTTGGTTACTCAACTAACCCTGCTAACCTGTGAATGAGTTGTGATGAGATTCTAGATTTGCAATCACAAACTGACAAACTTCTGTTCTCTATTGAATGCTTCTGTTTTGTTGTTGTTGTTTATTTGTTTCTAAGAAGTTTTCAACCAGGCACTGTGACTCACACTTATAGTCTCAGCACTTCCATCAAGAAGCCAAGACAGGCAGATCACTTGAGCCCAGGAGTTCAAGACCAACCTGGTCACCATGCCGAAACCCCATCTCTACAAAAAATACTAAACTTAGCTAGGCGTTTTGGCATGGCCTGTAGTCCCAGCTACTTGGGATAATGAGGTTGCCACAGCAGTGAGCTGTGTTTGTGCCACTGCACTCTAGCTTGGCAGACAGAATGGGACTGTGTCAAAAACAAAAACAACAAAAAACAGTTGTTTTTCCAACACAATTCATGAGATTGTTTTTTAAAATGCACAAACTAGTACTTTTAAAGATATTTTTGATTTTCCATTACACAAGTACAGAAATATGTAATTTCTCTATCAACTTTTCCCTTAAGAAATTAATTTTTTTCATTGTCTGAACGAGATAGAGTTACCTGTCTCTCAAGGATATTTTCCTCAAGTACTCATAGACAATTTTGAATTTGTGGTTCATTTCACCTTTTTATGACTCCAGAAATTAAATGATTCTTGGCTGTACATCAAAAGATGATTATGTAGTTATTATTTATTTTTATAGCTCAGATGAATCTGGTACTAGCTTCATTATAGTGCATGTCCCATTGGCCAAATGAACACAATCTGGAAATATGACATGCATTTTTAATAGTAATAAGGCAATAATTCTGCATTTTGTGTAGGTGTTCCAGGGGCTGCTTTAGTTAGGTTTAATGTCAATTAAGAAACACTGCAGTGCCCTTATTGGAATCTTGTAATAGTCACATTTCTCTGGCTGTTTTATGAAGTCGGGTGTAAACAATCACGTTAGAGGAGGACTTACTAAGTTTGGACCTGTGCATCATTTTTCTTAGCTATATATATTAAGGTATAGTAAAAATAAGCAGCACAAACTTTTCTTCTGTTTCCAGAGTGACAGGCATTCTGTAGTATTGATAGGGATATAAATAAACATCATTAAATGCTTTACCTATGGCTTTGGGCCCTAGTATCATTATCTGAAAGCATTTAGAATGAGTAACTAAAAGCCAAGAAAATTTACAAATCTCATTTTGGAGAATAATTACAGTTATCTATCACCAAACTGCTGGCAAGTAATGGCATTGCCTCATTGGATTTTATTCCTTTTTATGACTCTGGCTGCTCCTCAGGTGTAAGATCTATAAGCCATCAAGTGGATTGGAAGGGCCAGGAAGACCAGAGGCCCAGAATGACTTCAAGAAACAGCATATAAAAGAGCATTGGCACAATATGGAGAACCAGCTGAAAAATTTGGAATTTGTATGTACTGAGCCATGTGAAGATTGCTACCCAGTACTAATTGTTTCCAAAAGATGGGTTATAATTAGCATTTATAATAACATGTAAGTTCTACTCTGTGCTACCTGATATAGGAGACTTTATTAGTTACTCAGGGCTGCAGGAAAAAGGTCCACAAATCAAGTGGCTTAAAACAACAGATATTTATTCACTTACAGTTCTTGGAGCTAGAAGTCCAGAATCAAGATGCCAGCAGAGCCTTGCTCTAGGGAAAGATTCCTTCTCTGTTTCTGGTGGTTGTCAGTAATCCTCGGCATTCCTTGGCTTGTAGATGCATCACTCCAATCTCTGCCTCTATCTTCACATGGCCTTTACCTGTTAAGACTGGGTCCAAACTTCCCACACTATGTAAGAACACCAGTCATTGCATTAGAACCTCCCATAATCCAATAAGACTTTACCTTAACTTAGTTGCATCTGCAAAGACTCTTTGTCCAATTCAAAAAAGACCATACGTTTCCTAACTCAATGGCTTTGAAAGTTAGTGATATTGAAAATACAAATGTGTATTTTTAGAACCAGTATGAAATTTGTGTTTATTGTCTATTGCTACATAACAAATCACCCCAAAACTTAGTGCCTTAAAACAACAGCCATTTTGTTATATATCAGGATTTTGTGGGTCAAAATTTGGATGGGATTTGGCTGGGCAGTTCTCCATGTGGCATCCATAGTGGTATCCAGCTAGTGGCTTGGCTGGAGAGTGAAAAATGGTTTTGTTCACAGCTAGAAGGCTGGGCTTGGCTTAATCTCTCTCATCCTGCCTGTGAGCTCAGGACCTTTCCACACACTCCCTCCTGTAGAGTAACTGTGTATCTTAAATAACAGTTCAAGGTTTTAAGAGTGAGTAATTAAAGAGACAGGAACTAAAAACTGCTAGTCATTAATAAGGGACAGGCCCCCAAACTGGCACAGTATAGTTTCCATAATACTGTTTGTCGTTATAGTCAGAGCGTACCCTCAGATTTAAGGGGAGAGGTGTAACTCTCTGTAGAAAGACTAATTGTTTACCTTTTGGCTGGCCACAGATAGCTTGCATTTCACCCATCTTTGAAAATCTCATGCCAGCAAGGCACAGTGGCTCACGCCTGTAAAAATTCCAGCACTTTGGGAGGCTGAGGCAGATGGATCGCTTGAGGTCAGGAGACCAGCCTGGCCAAAATGGTGAAACCCCATCTTTATTAAAAATAAAAAAATAAGCTGGGTGTGGTGGCTGATGCCTGTTATTCCAGCTACTTGGGAGGCTGAGATAAGAGAATTGCTTGAACTTGGGAGGTAGAGGTTGCAGTGAGCCAAGATCATTGTGCCACTGCACTCCAGCCTGGGTGATAGAGTAAGTGAGACTCTGTCTCAAAAAAAAAAAAAAAAAGAAAAAGAAAAAAAGTAATAAAGAAAGAAAAAAGAAAATCTCATTCCATCAGAGCCCTGCCTTGAATTTAAGAAGCCAATGATAAAATCAGGTCTGTGTAGAGATGAGACTCTGTGTGTATGTTTTCTCTCCATCTGAAGACCTGTAGACTATAGGAACAAATCTTGTGCCCTCCCCACAACATATAATGGTCAGAGAGGAGTAGATTCTCCTCTTTAAAAAAGAAAATGGGAAACATGTTCCTCAGTAATTCTAAAATCCAACCAGATACAAGTCACTAGATCCTTAACTAGGCTCTAGTCCTGTTTCCTGGAAACTATTTTCCTGGCTCTCCGTTTGTCTCTTGAATCCATCCTCCTTTTCCACAAAAACTTGATGAGACCCCTGTGTATCCAATGATGATCCAATAAATCAAAGAAAAGCCACATACACATTTGGTTCTGACATAGTCCTTTTTTGCTGGAACTTAGGGCATTCTGGGAAAATGAAAAGAAGCCTTCTTTCTAGTTGAAAGGATTCATCAGGCATCCTTAAAATTCACAGAGACATATCGTATGATTTCTAGAAGTCCAATGAGGCTTACCTTCAGATCTTTCTGAGAGGTCAGCAAAGGAACATCCATGAGCTTTATTTTCCCAAAGCATGTTGTACAGGTAGCAGCAGCCTGGATTTAACCTTTGTCCTGAGGTCATTTGTAACTCTGCAAGTATATTGCTGGGAGAGCCTGGGAATTTTACCTTCATGCCCAGCATGTTCTGGTCCTTTTTTCCTCTGAATCTTGCTTAGAAACAGAAAGTTTCTCTTTTAGCTCATCCCTTTCCATGTTTTACCATAGGCAGCTAGGAACCAGTTGGCACTTTCTCCATTTTGCTGGTTCATCTTTCTTGCCAGACCTTTGTAAAAGTCCATTAAGTTTCTTATCATGTGCAACATTAATGCCAAAATTTCTGCCAGTACAGAAAAAGTATCACATATTTTCTGGCCTCCAATAACGTATTTTCATTGTCTCCAAAGCCTTCACCAACAGTCTTTTTCAAGGCCCATGGGGCTTTTGCTAACAGTCCCCTTGAAGTCCTCTTCTTTCCACTAACAGTCTCCATGAGGCCCTTCTAGCTTCTTGAAGGGGTGGCCTGCCCCTCCACACCTGTGGGCATTTCTCATTAGGTGGAACAAGAGGCTTGAGAAAAGAAATGAGACACAGAGACAAAGTATAGAGAAAAAAAATATATAGGGACCGGCGCTCAGCATACAGAGCACCCCCACAGGCACCAGTCTCTGAGTTCCCTTAGTATTTATTGATCATTATCTTTACCATCTTAGAAAAAGGGAAGTGGCAGGATAATAGGATCATCCTAGGGAGAAGGTCAGCAGTAAGACATATGAATAAAAATCTGTGTGACATGAATAAGTTTAAGGAAAAGTGCTGTGCCTTGATATGCATATGCAAACATCTCCATAAATCTTTTTAGTGCTTAAAGAGCAGCATTGCTGCTAGCACCTCCCACCTTCAGCCCTAAGGTGGTTTTCTCCTTGATCAGTAAACAGAACATACAATCAGGTTTTACACCTAGATGTTCCATTGCCCAGGGACGGGCAGGAGACAGATGCTTTTCTCTATCTCAACTGCCAAGAGGCCTTCTTTCCTCTCAGCACAGACCCTTCGTGGGTGTCAGGCTGGGGGACGATCAGGTCTTTCCCTTCCCACAATAGGCTGTCTGTAAGCTAAGGAGCAAAGAAAGCTAGTCTGAGTCCCAAAACTGAAGAACTTGGAGTCCAATATTCGAGGGCACGAAGGGTCCAGCAAGGGAGAAACATGTAGGCTTGGAGGCTAGGCCAGTCTAGTCTTTTAATGTCTTACTGCCTGCTTTATATTCTAGCTGGGCTGGCAGCTGACTAGATGGTGCTCAGCCAAATTAAGGGTGGATCTGCTTTCCCCAGCCCACTGACTCAAATGTTAATCTCCTTTGGCAACACCCTCACAGACACACCCAGGATCAATACTTTGCATCCTTCAATCCAATCAAGTTCACACTCAGTATTACCAACACAGCTCTTGACACAGGGTGGTCAGAGACAGGCTTTCTGTTCTGAGTAGCTGGCGTTAAGAAGAGTCTAAAGAATAAGAAGGAACTGCCTGTAATTAGACCACTAGGAAGAACTTTCCAGATGGTGAGTAAAACATAATGCAAAAGTTCTGGGGTCAGGATGAGGTTGCTTCGTTTGGGCAACTGAAACCCCAGAATGAGTGATGCCTAGTGAGTGAGTTAAGTGAGACATTGTCTGAGATGAGAGAGAAAGGTGGACAGGTGTTGTACCCAGTCCGTTTATTCCCCAAAGAAGACCACCAGAGACTGCAGTCAAAGCCAAGCGGCAAGGATCTTTATTGCAGGTTCGAACCTGGACCCCCGGCCGAGTGTCGGGCGAGAGCCCAGAGGAGGGTCAGGAACTGTCTCTTACAGTCAGCAGTAAACAAGTACAGAGTCATAGGGGTCTTTTTGAACGGCGCAGGCTTGGGATTGGTTGATATTTGAACAGTGCGAGTTGGCTGTTCTTGATTGGTTCCCGCCATCCGAGCTATTTCAGTTACTCTTCTGACATGTTTATGACCTCTGGCATGGATTTTCCTAACCGGTTTGTGGTTTGTCCCGGCTTCAGTTCCGAGAGCCAACTGTATTGTTCTTCCCACACAGGAACTGATGTAAAAGGGCCTACTAGGCCATAGTAAGGAGTTTAGAGTTTCTTTCTTTCGTTAGCCAGATAGGAAACTGTTCAAGTGTCTTTGCAGGAGAGGGCAAGGTCTAATTTATATTTTAAGAAGCTCAGTCTGACTGCTGCTTGGAGATTGAACCAGAGTGGAACAAAAGTGGAAGTGGGAAGTACACTGGGCTTATTCCTTTTGAACTTCCAGGGATAAAAGTTCAGCTTCTACACTGACTATTTCCTATGGAATTTTTGGTTCTCGTAAGTTAAATTGAACATAAAAATATGGAGACACCTTAAATTTAAATTAAAAAGGCAAGGGTTTTGTTTAGTTTTGTCCAAACTATCTTGTAAATAGCAATTTGCAAAATGAGATTCATCTTTAAATTTAACTTTGATTTCCCCTCGAAAACGGTAATAATTCCTAAGAGGTGCCAGAAATCAACATGTGTTTATTTACATGCTCTGTACCCCAAGTGAAAAAAGAATGTGCATATTTTCCTTATATTTCTTCAGGAAAGGATTTTATAAAGTAAGAACCGTGGGCTGATTGTTAAAGAAAACAAAAAATCTAACATTTGCTGAAATGGTAAGGAAGACTTTATTCAAGACTATTGTGATAGGTGTCAAAACTATCAGAACTGAGGAGAGAAATGGATATCAACTGAAAATACGTGCAAGGACAAGTAGAGATTTATATCATTAGGACAAACAGGTTTAATACCTTTTCCTTACAAGGGTCTAGCTGACACTGATATGGCAAAAGACAGATTAATAAGAAAAGAGTATAACAAATTTATTTAACAAAGTTTCATGTTACATAGAAACCTTTAGGAAAACTGTATTTTTATGTTTTTTAATGTATTCTTTATGTTTAGGTTTGATGAAGAATAGTCATGTAGAAATATAATTGGACCAAAAGCGTATGATGTAATGATTATAAACCTAAGGCAGAGGAAGCCAGCC